TGGGTAAATTCAAGTTGAAATTCAGAATTTAGAGGCTCACTATTACTACACATTATTTCCAAACACCTAAATCATGTCTTCCAACCTAGCTTTTAACAGTTCTAGAGCTATCATTTTGATCTCCACCTACCTGACTTGCATCTGTCTCTCAATGGTTTCCAAACTCTGGCAACAAAGAGGGTTGCTTATACTGGGCCCACAAAAAAACCCAGCAAACCAGGCACAGTGGCTCACACCTACAATCCCAGCTATGTGGGAGGCTGAGGCAAGAGGATCACTTGAGGCCAGGAGTTCAAGACCAGCCTCGGCAACAGGGTGAGACCCTGTCTCTTTAAAAAAAAAAAAAAAAAAGCAAACCAGCAAGACTGACAGAGTTAGACAGAGAGACCAAGAAATACCAAAAGTAAAAATCCATTTACTCATTTTCTGCATGTCTATGTCTCTACTTCCTGACAAAGAATAAATATGAGATTAAGAAAAAATAAGGGTCTCACCTGTCACTCTGCTTGGTTCCTTTGCTGTCAAAAACAATGGGAGAGGCTGCCCAGGGCACAATCGTCGTCCAGATGATGCCAGACCAGTCCCCCACTGGAACATAATGCCATTCACTTCTCAAGAAAGAAGAGAAAACAGAGAAAATGCACATCAGGATAAGACCAGATTGCTCCTTAAACCCTACTGCTATGGGAAATTCCCAGTTCATTCTCAGTGAACATAAGTGTTATGGAGAAGCTTCATCGCTTCAAGGGGTCTACTGGTCATAGGGATTACCACCAAGCCATTCACAAATCCAGTCTTCAGGGCAATCTAAGACCATCAAAGAAAATTCCAATACAGTAAAACTTCCTCCAAAAAGTTCCAGTGAATTGACTACTCCAGAATCAACTCACTGGAATGACACCTTGTTAAGGATTAACCTGAAGGACAACTCAGACTCTAGATCAAGCAGAAAATAACCTTAAAGACCATCAAGTCCGTTCCTCACACTTACCACATGAGAAAACTGAGCCCCTGCAGAAAGGAAGTGATTGGTCAAGGACATATAGGGAGGTAGCAGCACAGAAAATGCTAGGACTCAGCTCTCCTAACACCTAAGATTTCTCATTGCCAAATAAACACATATTTGTGACTGCAAGATAGCCTCTTAATAGCCATGATTTCAGTGGAATGGCCTTTTATTTTTATGTCCACTGAATATAACTCATGTACCTGTGTTCTGAACCTCAAATGTGTAGATGAAATTCAATGTATTTGGTCCACAGTTAAGTGTATGCAACTAGGATCTGTCACTCAACAGCAACATTAGGGTTCTGCTCCTCTGAAGTATCTTATAACCTATGGTCCTTTAGGATATAAACAGACAAGGCTGCTTGGTGGGGGCAAAAAAAAACTATGACCACTAAGCACAATGTGAACAAAGCACAGTGTTGAAATGAAACAAAACTTACAATCTCTTCAATAAATAAATTGCCAAGGGGAAAAGAAGAGAGGATAAAAATTATAGATTAAAAGAGATTTCAGATATGTGATAAGGATTAATATCCAGAATATACAGAGAAGTCCTAAAACTCAATAACAAAAAAAAAAGAATCCACTTAAAAAATACACAAAGGACTTTTAAATAGACATTTCTCCAAGAAGATATACAAATGACCAATAAACACATGAAGATTCTCAACTTCACTAA